TTGCATACTCTTAGTGTCTTGCCCCAGGAGACTGTAACTCTTTACAGAAGAAAGCCTCATCTTTCTCCCTCAGAGCAGCTGGTGATTTTGAACTGCTAACCTTGTAGTTGCAACCAGTGTGTAACACACTCAAGACAAAACAACACACTGCCATCCAGCTGATGCTGACTCATAGAGACCCACTAGAGACCCTCAAATGTCGGAACCAGCAGGCCCTAGGAGAAGCCCTGGTGGGACAGTGGGCTACACATTGGGTTGCTAGCCACAAGATCAGCAGTTTGAAGCCACCAGAGGCACTGAGGGAGAAGGATGAGGCATGCTACTTCTGCAAAGAGTGTTACAGTCTCAGAAAGCCACAGGGGCAGTTCTACGCTGTCCTGTAGGGTTGCTATGGGTCGTCATCGAATCGATGGCAGTGGGTTTGAGGGTTTGTTGGGCTTTGTGTTTAGGTCCTACAATGTTGGGGAAGTACCTTAATGGTATGAAAGTGAACTGCGGATATGGGGGGAAGGAGGGAGGGGCAGCTAACTCAAGAAAACAGCTCAGAAAGAAAGAGAAAGAACTAGAAGGAGAAATCAGAGCCTGCTTACAGGCTGAGGTGAAGAGGCACTGTGAGAGAGATGTTGAGGACCTAGCTAACAAAGGTTATAAAAGTGGAGGGTACGGTTACGGAGAAGGCAGGATGCGCTACGAACCAGACGTAGAAAAACAACCTGTCTGCTTGGGGCACAAGGAAGAACATGCAGGGACGTGAAAGGCAAGATGGCGCTCAAGAGAAGGGCCTCTATTTTCTCTTGGAAGTGGTGGACATGGTCATCTGTTAGGAATTAGAGACAGGGAGTTAAAGGGCAGTGGTAAAGGTCAGAAACACCTATTGTTGAAAACAAGAAAGGGAGCCGACTATCTAGCTACACAAAGGTGAACTGACAGCTCTGGGGGCCTAGCTAAGCCCAGCGGCAGGAATCCCGAGTTAACGGACTCTTCACATTACACAGTAGGCAGTGCCTGGTTGAGAGGGCAGACAGGAAGATGGTAGAGTATGCAAGATTGGGTTTTTTTTGCCAGGGGGGGGTGCGTATTTGGAAGGACAGGGCTGAGGGCCTTGCCAAAGAGATCTGTTGTCCTAAGGGCTTACGTGGTGTCCTCATAGGACTTTCTATACTGCAGAGTTTGTGGCTGACTCCTAGCCTTCCTCTGGACGTTAAGACAGTCCTCCCTCTCAGTCCTCTCCTCGGAGTCAGTCTTTCTGTCTCAGAGACCAACGGCATACTCGACCAAGACCTGACGACACCCTGTGTCAGTGCCACATTCTCACTCTTCTAGTATGTCCTACCAAAGAGGGCTGCGACTTAGGTTCGTGGGCTCGTCCCGAATCCAGACTTCTATGAACTGACATCCTACAGCTCTGTGGAGTCTGACATATGAGAGGGCTTCAAAAAGTTCATGGAAAAATTCCACGACCCCTTAATTCATGTTTTCCCATGAACTTTTTAAAGAGCCCTCATGAGTGTCCTGATCCTTACTCTTGACATCATCTCTCGGGGCACAAAGGCTGTGTGACCACACGGTCAGCCGTTCCTTGGACGTGGCAGTCTGGTCCATTTTCAGAGAGTCTGGTCCGAAATTACAGAGCGGAAAAACGGAACTACCATTTTCACGGAGAGCAGTCTTTTTTGGTTAAGACAACTCATGTCACACTGTATTTAGCTGTGGTATTTTTGTAGTTGAGTTCAAAAAAGCTGCAGCAGTTCAAAAGTGATTACACAGCTACTTGGTTTTTCTTGTTCACCAAACGGGCAGTTCCCCACGAATAAACACCCACCTGCTAGGATTGCTTTATGAGCCTGGAACTCCTGGCCAGCAACACATAAACAGCAGTCTGTGAACCGGGAATTCTCCCACAGGCCTCCTAACTCATCTGCCAACCGGCATTCAGGGACTTTCACCATATTCATGGTGTTCTGGCCAGAGATGTTGACCGAGTCTTGCACCACACTCACCTGTGGAAAAGAAAGAGATGCTGAGCAATGCCATTGCTACCAGGGATTCTCTCTCCAGCAGGAGCGGAGAGGACTGCTACTTCATTGCTGCAGGACAATCACATACGAACGGCAGTCAAACTCTCCAATTCCCACTTGATCTCAATCAGACACCTGAGACACACTTATCAGCATATGAGGAGGGAGTTCCCACAAACCTTCGTCTCTGCTCCAACTCCCCTGTCCCCAAACCTGAGCAAAGCAGCCGAAGGGGGGAAAATGGACCGAAATGATTGTTCGATTGTTAAGGGCCAAGTAGCTACCTTATTCTGCCTCAAGCAAAAGGTTAAAGACAAAGAATTCCTACAGAAACTACCATTTAGTTAGATCTGGAACGCAAACATAAAAATAAAGCGGTTTCTACAGGGCTGGGGCAATAACTGTCACTTCCTCCAGTGAGTGTCACACTCGGGATGCTATTGAGCGAACCACCAGCAGCCCTGACGACTGTGCTAGAAAGACCTTTCTTGCAGTAACGGCTGGGTGGGTATGCCCCACCATTTCCATTCAATCACCTGTCACAATGACACACGAGATGGCACTTGGAGCTTTAGAACAACACAGTGATGACAGATGGTGAGAGAGGGATCCAGACTCCCTCTGTGGCTGCAGCAGCAGCAGCAGCATCTTTTAACCAGTTGAATTAGCTGTTCAGACTAGAGGAAACCAAGTAACTTCTAGGTGAGTCAGTAAAATTCAGGTAAATTGAGTAAGATGCCAAATACATGGATTATAAGTCATACACACCATCATAAAATGAATGTATGTTACTGTACCAAAGCTATGACCCTGCAGGCCAGTCCTCCGCCTGCAACCATTGACAGGCTTCAACTCCTACATCGCATTAGGTTAAAATTATTTAAATCAAAGCAGAACTTGCAAAGCTTAAGAATCGGCTCCCCACTCTTGCTATTTTTAAAAGTTAGATGAGAAAGACAGGGCAAGAACATCCTAAATGACCCAAATTCCTTTTAACCTTCAAAATGCAAGTCATCTTTTCAACACAGTCCTAAGTTTGGAGGCAAGGTGAATGCCCCATCCAAGTCACTGCACTCTGTCTGTGCAGGAGGGAGACATGACCGTCAGGTCAGGACATTTATTCATTTGTTTTAAACTAGTCATCATGGCCTTGACCAATGAAAGACAGCCAAGCTTATTAATTATGAATGTGCCTAGCATTAAGAACACATTGATCAGCGCCCAGTGTAGCAGTGCTAGCTGGGCCCAGCACAAAGCACTCCAGAGCGTCTCCGTTTCTCCAGTGTAAGAGCCACTTTCTCCTACTAACACTCTGCCTTCCGTGTCACAACGCCAGTGCCATGGGGGCAGAAGTTCCAAACCGCCAGCCGCTCCGCGGGAGAAAGACAAAGTGTTCTACTCCTGTAAAAACTGCGCTCTCTCGGAAGCCCACAGGAGCAGTGCTGCACTGTCCTGCAGGGCCGCTACGAGTTGGCATCGACTTCATGACAGTGAGCTTCAGTTTTGTTTTTTGGATTAAAAAAAAAAATGACAACGGTAGAGGTTGCCTGTTTTCAGTTGTAGCTTCAAAATATTGAGTTTTTTTTCTTTTAATGGAAAGACAAATTAAGTCCAAATCTTCATAGGAAAAGACAAGACTTTCCTGGGATGCTAACGTGAGGGAAGGGAGAATGCTCTTTGCACTGGGTTCCCAGCTTGATTTCAACCAAGTTGACAGGAGCCCAAAGTCATCCGTGTACTTGCTGGCAATTTACTAGACTGGGTAAACTGAACTGGCCAGAGCCAAGCTGGGCTTCACACAGGCCCCTCAGTCGGTCGGAGCGCGCCAGTGGTGAGGAGAGCCGGAAGACTGTGCCTCCTCCTCTCGCTGCAGCAGGGCCGTGCCCTCGCAGAGACAGGAACACAGCAGGAAGAGAGCGCACCTTCACCGTCTGAGCCAGGCTGCTTCTGTAAGGCTCCAGAGCTCTGGGTGTCTGGCACCTCTTACCAACGTTAAACACGCTTAATTGAAAATAAATTTAAATGGCATTTACAAACGAGTCTTCAGAGCCCAGACTTTTCACTTAGAAAGGGATTGCTTTCCTCTGTAACTGATGATGCTGAAATGAGGCCATCCGGAGAAAAACTAAAGCTAGAGTTGCATGCCTGTAAAGCTAACTGTGGAGCCTCATGCAGAGCTGAAGTGGCGCACAGGACGTGCCGTGACACGTATGCCGTCTGATAAAGGACTGCAGAAATGACTCAGGAAGGGTGAATAACCCCTTACATTTCACGCGGTAAGAGGGCCGCACTTTTAAGTCAATTCCTTTTTGTGAAAAAAAAAAAGAAGAACATTTCTTTAAAGACTGAAAGCTGTGCTAATTCTTGCACATTTTTTCCTTAAACATAAAAAGCCAAAGTCAAACCAATCGAAATGTATAAATTTTTAATTTCTACATAATGAAGACCATCCAGAAACAAACACCAACTCTGCATAGAGATTATGTACAGCAGCCCTACTTCTAATAGCAAAAGATTAACAAGGACCCAATTACTGCTCCACAGGAGAATGAGTAAGTAGATTGGGTATAGTCACATAGCAGACTAACACGGCACTACGAGACTGAACCATGGTTACATCCACAACATCCATAATGGGACAGACGCACATCTCAGATGACGACAGCCCTACCACGACCACACCACACCGTTGATATGAAGCGCAAACCCAAGCAAACTTAAAGAGCGTGTTGTTTCGGCATGCAGACAATAAACATGGAATGGCCACGGAACATTCAAAACAGCTATCTATCATTGTCTGGGTGGGGAGAGACCAGATCTAAGGGACAGGAGAGAAATAGGTCTATAGGTTAGGTACAAGCTACTGGTGATGTGTTATTCTTCGAGAGTGGGGTGTCAGGCTCACATTATCATGCTTTTAAGTAACCAGAATGCTACATATTAAATTGCCACTTTTATAAGTCAAATATTGGCAATTTCATACAGTTCAAATCTAATATATCCAAATCATCCCAATAAAAAAGAGAAAATATGATTAGACTCCTACTTATTTAAAATTTAATAATAATATAGACCCCTAGGCCAGGAGGGGACAGGCTGTGTGAGAAGGAGAGAGATGTTTAAGAAGAGTTAGCCAGTGCCTGGGAAACAGGCTGTTTTCCCAGATTTTGCCAGTAAACACCTCATCAAGAGAGAGGCATTAGACTCTTCTCCCTGTCGAAGGCCTACACACAGGCAGGGAAGGGACTACATGCATCTTCATTGCTTTATGTAAATACTTGGAAAAGAAGGGCAAACATTTCATGAAGCTCTTCTATGGTTCAAATGATTAGAGAGAAAATTAGACCTGTATTTTAAACCTGCTTGCTATCTTCTTCTTCCATTACCCAAGAAAATGCCCTCTATCAAGAGAACTTGGCTGTGCCCGCGCTTCTTTGGGTGAAAGGCAGTCAGCTCCACTTAGTGTAAAGCAGCAGACGCAGATGGAAAAGGGAGAGTCGACATGGCCCTGACACTCATTTGCTGCATAGTGTTAGAAAGAATTACCTGCCCTCCCCACGCACTGCTTCTCTCCCCTGGAACATGAAGGTAACAGAATTAACCTAGCTCAGAGGATTGTGAGAAGCGACAAGTCAGAGAATGCTTTGAAAATGCTTCCAAATAAGTGAAACGAGCGACATCAATTGGAAAAACTGCCACATTTTCCAGTAGGCAAACACATCGCCATTTTATGTGGCCAGTGAGAATGGCAATAGACCCTGGGCAGCACATTACAAGCGAGACCACCATTTGGTATTTTCAGAGTTTGCCATCTAATCTCATTAAAACATTTGTTACCAGTCATTCGTTGAAAACAAAGCCCAAACACACAAATGTGTGATTCTCAGCCTTTCACCTTGCTTTGGGACAGCAAAACAAATGAACGAAAGTAACAACCAACCAATCCAAGAAGCAACTAGAGTTACCGCATCAGGGAGAGTACAAGTGCCCGAGTCAAAGGCGAAGGGAGGTGCCGTAGTGGGGTCTGGTGTTCATCGCCTACGCTGGTATAGGGACAAAAGCCTCTAAATAGTAACAAAATACTAACTGAACCAATCGTACTTACAATATAAGTATGAAGTACAATATGCCCGTTTATAAATATGCCCTGGATAGAAGGGAAACAGCAGGTCAAAGGGACCAAATTGGGATGATCTAGGACAACAAATGCTCTGGTTAGGAAAAGTGCTAAGAACTTAGATGATCTGCAGACGTTTTTTTAAACCCACACATCCAGTACACACCCCCCACGCAGCCGTCTTGCAATGCTGAATGCTACTAAGTCCACAGAGAGCTTTGGAACAGAACGAGTCTCACTAGGCACAAGCCCAAGTCTGAGAAGCAACACTCAGCACCTGTGGCCAACAGAGAAGTGTGAGAGGAACAGATGGCACACCTGGTTTGATGGTAAAAAACCGGTGGCATCAGCAGAACCCAGCAGACGTTTCCCTGTTCAACATCTCCTCATTTCAAAAGTGTCATCTCACTTCCCTTCTAAGTCAGTAAGGCAAATCTAAATTTAACCACAGGACTTCTCCTGAGAGAATTTCATATGGGGAAGCGGAGGCAGAGCACGCTGGAACTCGGCCTTGGACTTAACCACGGGATAAGTGATTGCCAAGTGAGGGGCAAGCCAATTGGTTTCCAAATCAAGAAAGTCAATGCAGGGCTAAGAGCAGCTGGAATGGATTTGGGAGCGAGTGTAGGAGAACAAGATGGACCTACTTCGGATGCCAACATGCTGCCATGAGGGTGATGGCATTGCCCAAGTCCATATGCAAACAGTGGTGGTGGGGTGGTGGGGGTGGTGGGGTGGGGGCCAGGAGCACTATTTAGAGGAGAGTTGCTTCAGACAACAATCTGAAGACTAACTTTTATTTCTAAAAGAAAAGACCATTGTCTACAATCTCTAAAACTTTCCGTTGGTCTCCTTGATAATTACAGGATCACTGTGAGGGGAAACCAACTCACTAAGAGGATTTGGTTTTTAGGATCATCAACCAAACCTAATGCGATCCAGGTGATTCCAACTCAGAGCAACTTTATAAGATTTCCAAGACTTTCCATCTTTGGGGGTGCACACAGCCTCATTTTGCTATGGCCAAGCAACTGGTGGACTCGAACCACAACCTTGTGCTTAGCAGCCTACTGCTTAACTGACTGTGCCACCAAAACCTCCTTCCCTCGGTTACGAGCACAACCGGATGACCGGGCTAATTCACACTCGGGGCTAACCTCACAGTACGCCACCTGGCTGTTCGCCTTTCTTCACTGGGGCGACTGAGTATGCGCTGTGACCAGCTGGACTTCATATGCCATTTAAATATGAAGTTCATCAGATGTAAAACAACTGCAACACTTGGGTAGAGATGATTTCACCTTAATATTCTTTTTCCTTTCAAAACTTAGTATTTGAAAATAATAAGCAAATCATATTTTATGTCTTCGGTAAGCTATTTTAATAAACTATGTCGCCAAAGAGCTATGGCTCAGAAAAGAAGTCAGCTCTGCTGGCCAGGCCTTTTCTGCAGACGGGCAAGGCTCTGAAGGTCCAGTTTCCCTGCTGCCAGGGGGTGACATGCCTTTGAAAGGGCCAGGAAAACACTGTGTGAACCTAGGGTTTGCCCAGAGCACCCTGGATGGGTAGCTGGGAGACTGGCAAGCACTCTTCTCCCTGCAAGTACAGTGGTTAGTCACACCAACTGGGGCTTTTCCGAAAGTGGTTCCCCAGCCAGAAAGCACACGAATGTCCCAACTGGTGTCCGTTTTACTTACTTACTACACGTGAGCTGATGTATGCTTATAAATATATTGGTAGCAGCATGACATGAGTATTAGTAGATCCTCATTTCTAACTCCCCATCTGTTTAGGGACTTCAGGGTTTGCCCTGCAAACCCGGGAAAGGCTCTTTGGTCTTTAGTGAGAGGAAGATTCTCCTACCTAACTGTGGCTTATAAAACTCACCAGGATCTTGACTCTCAAAACATAATGATGCTCACGTTCCTCTTTCACCAGCACTCCAGAGGTCAACTGAGCAGGCACTCAATCCCTGCTGAGTGCTCCCTAGTTTAAAAAGCCGAAGAGGAAAGTGATCCGCAAGCAGACCCACGTGGACTTTATCTTCAAACGGAAGGAGGAGCCAGAAAGTCTAAGGAACAAACACACGTAGCTCGTTGCTGGCCATTCTCTCCAGCTTAGGCTGGCAGTTCTGATAAAAGCTACCTGAAAACACTCCATGAAAAAGCCAGAATCCTGACCCTCATTCATCCCGAGGCGGCACGCACTCTTGTTGTGGAGAACAGCACAAGCACACAGCGCAGAGGCAGGACCACCTTGACATCAGGAGGCAGTTTTCAATCAGTCACATAAATAACATTTGTGCAGCACAACCCCACGTGGGGATTTTTCTTGCTCTCTGTCCCTGTTACAATGAAATCGACTGATGCCCATCAGGTCTGGGAATTGCTGGGGTAAAAGGACTCACCTCACAGAAGAGGGTAAGCTTGTCATCCGGGAGAAGCCCGTTGGCCTCATCTAAGAGAAAATCTCTACGGATGAATTTTTTGAATCCCCAATCTTTGCCTTGCACAAATCTATATGCCCGTTGACTCTCTGGGGTGGGGAAAAAAAAAAGTCATATTTATGGCTACTCAGAAACCGGATGAAATCCACAACTTGACAGCGTAGGCAGTTGCTGGGTGGAAAAGCAACGAGCCAAACAGAAAGGAGAGCAGTTACCCATTGCTTTGGTTTCTTCTCCCTTGGCATTCAGGATGGAGAATTTGAATTTTGCCCGAACTTCACTCTTTGGACAGCTGACCAGCAACAGGTAAAGTGACAGGTAATCTTTGCTTTCTTCATCTAGCCCTTTTGGGTTTACTCGCAAACACCTGCCCAAAATAAATCAAAGGGGGGAGGGGGACAAAAATGTATATTGAAAACCTCCATGTTTTACAGGCTGTGAAAGTGACAGGATAGAATGACAGAATGGAACTGGAACACCAGAATCACGACAGGAAATGCTTTTTAAGAAGAATCCTATCAGCAGATTCTGCTTCAGCACAGTGACACTTGGGAACCACCAAAAATCAAGGGCATTATTCTAGCATCCTTTACATCTTTTCTTAGTTTCCTCACAACCTCCCCCAAATCACTCACTTCTTTCACCTTTCATTTAAAAATTACCCGTATTTTAAAATTCCACCTCATCTTGCTCTACATATTCCCCTCCTCAGTGTCACAGAAGGCTAGCCTAATTTTGTTGGGATTGTGGCAAAACAAGGGAGCTCCGGAGGTGTCGGAAGTCCTTTGGGCTGCTGGCCACAAGGTCAGCAGTTTAAACACATCAGCCACTCGGTGGGAGAAAGCTCAGGTTTTCTACTCCCATAAAGACTTAAACTCTCAGAAACCTACAAGAGCGATTCTACCCTGTCCTGTGGGGTCACGAAGAGTAGGGCTCGACTCAATGGCTGTGAGTTTGAGTGTTGAAACCATGAAAACAGTCTCAGGTGAACCCTTTCAGATCACCTTGGGGACGCCATGTTTTCCACACGAGTCCTAACATTTTCAGATTAAAGGAGGCAGTATAGACAGAGTATAGATGAAGGCCAATTCCCATGACATAAGGCACAGTTCTAAACCTGGATTCTAAGGAGGGTTGGAAATGCCAATCTGTTACTGATGAATCAAAACAAAATTCAGACAGAATTTAATACATTCAACTGAACCGTAAATGTCATTAATTGAACTGCATGTGGTTCACACACTGTTTTCCACCACATATACACAGACAAAGTGTATCTGTAGGGCTTGCCAGAGATCCGGCACCTCTCTCCGACAGGTGGCTCAATCCCATGCCTCTCCAGGGAGTGCAGAAGCCTCAAAGCTCACTAAGTACTGTGCACAGGATGGCGATTTATATACAAAGCCTAAGAATACACATTTCTCTCAACACTTGAGGTAGAAGGGGGTTTCAAAAATCTCATGGGAAAATTCCATCATCTTTGCATTCCACTTCTCCATGAACTTTCCAAAGCCTCTTCAAACAGCCAACAGATACTAAATAAATAAACAACCCTAGGGAATTATCAAAGGCCAAAAACTATCGGTACACAGGATTTTGGGTCTTTGCAGTGGGTACGCGGATGTCTCCGTAATAGTTCCACCTCTTCCAGATGTTGGACCCGTGGTTTGGGTGGGATTGACTCTCGTCCCCAGATCACGTTGCTCTTGTCCCCGGGGTCCGTCAGTTCAGTGAGGCCAGGTAGAAACCATCCATGAGTGTATGACCTCTCTTTGAATAATGAATGACTTCTGAAGGGCAGCGCAGAGGATACGGCACTCTGAACTTCATCATGGGGCTGCGGAAGCAAACTGCCTCTACCGAGGCCGCTCTAGCTACAGGAGCAAATAAGCCCCTTCTCTTACTTAAAAAAGGAAAAGAAAAATATAAAGACTACTCAAAAGTCAAATTTACATTCAAATGTAGGTTTCCTTTTGGAAACAAGAGTGGTACACGATGAATATAATTAATGCCACAGATCTGATTAAAATGACAACTGTTTGGTTATATGTATTTTACTACAATTAAATAAAAAAGAAAAAGAACACCAAAAAATAAAAACCACGGTCTCTGGCTTTTCTAGAAAAGTAAAAAAGTTGGACAGCGGTCAGCCCTAATTCATGCATGGCCATAAACCAGCGGAAGCAGCGGGGTCACCAGCCCTTTCAGAAAGACATGCCACTCCTACCAGGTGCAGAGACCAGTTATGACACTGGCCCTCTTCGTTACAGGAGTCTGTAGCCAGTCAGTCTCAAATACTTTGGACATATTACCAAGGAGACTTATCCGTGGGCAAGGACATGGAGCTTGTCAAGCAGGTCAGCGGACAAGAGGAAGACCCTCAACGAGATGGATGAACACAGTGTCTGCCCATCGGGCTCAAAAGGAACAACCACTGTGAGGCTGGCCAAGGGCCGGGCAGCTCATTCTGTTGGTCACGGGGTCCCTATCAGTCAGAGATAGCTCGACAGCACCTGACAACAGAGGCGTTCACCCAACACGTATTTACTGAGCCCCTAACGCAGCGTCAGCCAGGCACTGCCTGCACTGAGCTTACACTTTAGTCAATACCGAGAAAACAGGCAACTTTTAGAAAAAAACTTTAGCGCTGGATGTATCTTCCTCACCATTTCAGTTTATCATTGGCTCCTGATGAAAAGGTTGAACTTTTAATGACTTCACCCATTTCCTCCCGGCAAAAGCTAAAGTTATTGATGGTCCACATGTAGGAGAATTTCACTACCTTGATCTGTTGACAGAAAACCAGGAAGCAATTAAATAGGAAGTGGGCAACCTACAACAGCAGGCTGGAGCTCAGATCAGTTCCCTCCCTCCCTCCTCCCCTGCAAAAGCCCCACAGGGAGAGAGGAGGAAGCGCAGCTTTCTCTTGCCTCAGGTTCCCCTACCCAAGTTAACAACTCTCACACCAACCAGCTGCTTTCCTATCTTTACCAAGTCCAACAACACGGGATGGAAAGTGGAAAACAATGGACAGGTGGCAGAGATGATACAGAGGCATCTAAACGGAACCTCTTGGCTCAGTGCAATGTTGGATGATTGAGATGTTGCGGTCACTGCCTCAGGCTGCAAATCTCAAATTTGCTTTTCTCTTGTCTTGCCCAAGAGAGGACTCCGGGCTTGGAACTGGTTTGAACTAGTTCAGGCCTGACCCAAAGGAAACCAAGACAGACTCAAGTTTTTAAATTTTAGGTGATTCAGATTGATAACCAGAATTGGAAAAATTACCCGTCAAAGCCCTAGAACAGGAGACTGTGGCGAGGTGCATGAGACTGGAAAACTGGCACGACTGTGGAGGGCAACACACAAAATGGTGGAGCCGGTCACCAGCTTTGCGTGGGGCACTGCGGGTTCCTGCCTTGGCTCAAAATCCATAGGGCAAGAGATATGGTGACTATGCAACACGTGTGCTAACCCTGTTTTCTAAAAAGGAGATTGCCAGCAGGGCTTCCACCTTCCATTTCCCCATTCCAGTTAACATTCCAGTACACCCACATTCTAAAACTTCAGGTGTGATCCAGGTTTGATTCCTGTGAGGGGACAGGGAAGAATTTGTCCCAAGCCCTGCTGAAAACACATCTCCATCACGAAGTGTATGTTGCTCTAGCTTCCAAGACTCCCTGGTAAACCACTGTTGAAAACAGTGGCCCAAACATACCTTATTTCCCTGGTACTTAACAGCGACATCCCAAAGAAAGCAGGAAACCCAGTGCAGCCTCTTGCCACCCCCACCCCCAATCCCCACCCAAGGACTGGGTTCTCACCGTGAGCAATCCCTACCTGTGTGTAGCACCAGCTCTCAGCTACAGGGCCACTCGACATTTCTGCCGGAGGGGGAGGACTTGGAACCCTTGACATCGCCAGTTTGAAGGTTGAACAAGATTTCCAAAGTCAGGGGGCAACGGTGTCTTTTTTCCTCCTCTTCACCTGGATCAGATGCAAGAAACAAGAGGATTTTATTAAACTGATGGCACTTTATTTCTGTTTGGTCTTCCACAGTCTACAAAGTTGTCTCCTGTCTGGACTGCTCTACCTTGGTCATTTAAGTGGCTTCCTTACCATCCATGTCCCCAATTTAAATATTATCTGAAGGAAGTCCAACCTCATCTGGTCTCCGAGTCACAATTAGCCACCTTGTTTGTATCCTCTACATAGTACTTAATATTATCTTAACTAGACAATGGTACTCAAACTACATACCGATTACATCTTGAAAAGGAGACAGCAAAGTTAATATGGCCACACCCTTGCCACTGGCATAAATCCTCCATTCCTAAAGAAAAGTGGCCTTGATCTCCACTTGTTACTGTCTTCTACCATCTAAATCTGCACACCTGAAGCTGTCCTGTCTTTCGGCTCACAGTGACCCCCGAGGGCTGAGTGACTGCTGCTGCTCAGGGGCTGCAAGGCTGTCATCTCTCTGGAAGCAGATGAAGACAGCTTTCTCCCAAGGAGTGGCTGCCGAGTTTGCACCACTGACCTTTGGTCAGCAGTCAAAGGCTTAGCCATTGCACCCCACAGCTCCTTCTCTTGAACTCACCTTGAAAGGTATTCAAAGTAGTCTGATTGCTATCTGCTCTCTTGAAGGGGACGTTTCTTTTCTTTGAAGGGGCATTTATCCCTTTCTTGGATAAATCCATTTCTCGGCAGCATTAGGGTGGTACATTCAAGCATCACCCACTTTTCCCGACTACTCCTTGCTCATTGTTTTCTGATCATTCCTCAATCTCTTTTACGGCATTATCTTCCTCTCCTATTATTCCTCATGGCTTAATTCTCAATCACTGTCTCAATCTACATTCTTTCTCAGGGCAATTTTATCACCCCAATAATGTCCATTTCTGATGACAAATACAAATGTTTACCAATCAAACTGTTCTCTCAGACCAAGTTCAAAGAACTGCTATAGGTCTCAACAGGGTATCCCAGTAGCAGATCAATTCCAATTCAAAATTCCCTTCTCTTTGGCCTTTAGAAACATAAAAGCTATTTTAAAAATTGATTAAGTTGGTTATAATTAAGTTTTAAATATCCATACATAAAACCCAAAGACCAACTGCAAGAAATGCCTGCAACACATGACAAAAGATACACTCATTAAGATATACATTGACAAATTGTTCCTGCAAAATCAGGAAGAAACAGGTTGGCAGCCCTATGTAAGTATGGTTCACAAAATAGAAACACAAATAGCTCTTAAGTATTTCATACCTACCATACCAGCAAGAGAAAAAAACAACTGTCCCATGTATGGGGAAATGGGACTCCACTCCACTGATGTTCAGACGAAAGTGAGTGTATTTTGGATAGGAAGTTGGTTATATTGCCAGAAAAACAAACAACTGCCATCAAGTTGATCCTGACTTATAGCAACCCTACAGGACAGAGTAGAACTGGCCCTGTGGATTTCCGAGACTGTAAACCTTTATGGGAACAGACAGCCTCATCCTTCTCCCATGGACCAGCTGGGGGGTTTGAGGCACTGACTTTATGGTTAGCAGCCCAATGCCTAACCCACAGTGCCACCAAGGTTCTCCTGCGGGGTAGTTTGAGGACAGCATTTAATTCCATGTATTAATAATCTCACCCTCTGAGGGTGCAACTATGTTTTATTAAATCCCCCCAATGCTTATTAACTAGATAAGTGATCGGCAAGTTTGTGAGTTGGATTAATATTTAAAGTGACTTTAAAAAAACCGTCATCCAAGCTCCTCAGGGTGACTAAGCTACTAGTGGAAAGGTTAGCGGTTCAAACCCACTTTGTGACTCCAGAAAACAAAGACTTAACAATGTTTCTGTGAAGACTGCAGCCAAGAAAACCCTAGGGAGCAGTTCTCCACAGGCAGCACCTGATCAGCAACATACATTAGCAGCCGGGGTTCTCAGACGTTACCAGTTCTCAGAATGGCTTGTTAAACAGACTGCTGGGCCCCAGTCTCACAGTTTCTGATGGCGAGGTCGGAGGGGTCCTGAGGTTGCTAGTCTAGTAAATATTCTCTGAGAACCATTGCCCTAGAGCAGCGGTTCTCACCTGTAGGTCGTGACCCCTTTGGGGTGGAACGACCCTTTCACAGGGCAAAATTACAGTGACGAAGTAGCAACGAAAATACTTTTATGGTTGGGTAGGTCACCACAATGAAAGGGTCGCGGCCTGAGGAAGGTTGAGAACCACTGCCCTAGAGAAACTCCACACAGAAGCACTAAGAAATAAACAAAACCATCTCGTAGCTTCCAACTCATGTGAGCCTAGGTATGGACGCCTAGGGTTTTCAAGAAAGTTGAACCTTTTAGAAAAAGACTGCCAAGACTCTCTTCTGAGAAACTTAAACTACATTAGGATGGGAAGAGATCATTCAATCAAGTTATTTCTGTATCACAGAAAATTAAATTTTGACACTTAAAATTAATGAACTAGTTCTGTGAAACCCTGGGGATCAAAGGCCATGCTAATATGTTTTGGAATGTCATGTATAGATTATTAAAGCAAATTTAAGATTTGGGTGCTTTGACAGGTAGATACATGCAGTAGCAGCAGAAGAAAAAACATTGACAGGTGATGCATGAAATTCACGGTGGAAAAGGCAAGGTGAAGATAAGGCTGAGAAAAGACCCTTCGTTTTTACCTCTCTTTTCTTTTAAAATAAGGATGACCCGGTGGTCTCGGAAGGAGCCCTGGTGGTCTAGTGGTTATGCGATGGGCTGCGATCTGAATGATCGGCGGTTTGAAGCCCCCAGCAGCTCGGAGGGAGAAAGGCTGGACGTTGTACTTGTCAATAGTCAGTCTTGAAAACTCACTGAGGGTCGCCGCGAGTCACGTGGACTCAATGACAATGAATTTGGTTTAGGGCCAAAATGGTAATACTAATTTATTTCATAGCTATTTAAATGTCAACTATTATCTGGACCATTTTTTTAGTATACAGTATTAGTTGTAGAAATAGTGTAAGAATGTGCTCCATTATATTATATTACACATTGTTTGGTTTATAACACCCAGGAGAGAACTTTCTTTACTGAACCCTGGTTTGTGTTCTGCTTATGGACATTAGGAATCTTTTAATTTTAATCATTTTATTGGGAGCTTGTACATCTCTTATCACAATCCATCCATCCATCCGTGGTGTCAAGCACATTTGTACATTTGTTGCCATCATCATTCTTTCTACTTGAGCCCTTGGCATCAGCTCCTCATTTTTCCTCTCCCTCCATGGATATTATGAATCTTATATAACTTTAAAACTGATCATCTTTCTTCCCTCTTTGCTTGGTTACTAGAAAGCTGGGACAAATTTGTGACCCTTCTTTTAAAACTATAGGCTCCTACATTTGTTCTATCTATATGCTTGTTCTATGTGCCATATCCGATGTAACAATCATCTGCATTCATACATATTTATCATTTTCTTAACATTACTATTTCTACTGTTATAATCCAAGCAATTGTTTATTTTACTCTTTCATGTGTTAAGTATTTTTGGGTGCTGTCCCACATCCTTTGTAGGAGGAGGTATTTATGAATAACAACTACAAAAAGTCACTTTAAATATTTATCCAACTCACACACTTGCTGAGCATTCTTTTTAAGTTATAAGCATTGGGGGAATTAATAAGACATAGTTGCCCTCTCAGAGAGTGAGATTATTAATAAGTGGAATTAAGTGCTGTCCTCATTGGTCATAAACACTGTCCTGCAGGCATTTATAATTAAAACATGTAATCCTAGATAAAGTCAACAGTCTTTTACTCATGGCTGGCTATCTCACCTAAGCTAGCAAGCTGAGCAAAGGCGATGGCATTCCGCTGACCCTGGTTCCTGAAGATGCCCAGCAGAAAGGCAATCTACAATAACGACAAATGAGACCAACGGCTCTGGTGAACAGTCCAAGGCAAGCTTGCAGTTAGTTGATGGAGAACACACACATCACACAACTGCTTATTTGTCCAATGGTAAGTCAATGCAGTCTTGGCCATTTTATAAATCCCCAAGATAATGTTTTCAAATTCCTATTTAAAACTCTTTTGGAAAAAAAATAAAAGACATGGGTAGTGGGGGAACAGGGCACTAACCAACCCAAGGGAAGGGTGTTGTTTATATTTCCACAGGAAAGGGAGCGAGGGACCAGACTTCAACCTGGTGTGCCAAGACGTGAATGCAACATACTGGCATGAAGCAGGGAACCAATAGATAGAGGTCTGCAGGGCTGGGCCCAATCTCAAGTACATGACACCCCACCACCACCACCACTGAAGAATTCACTTCAGAGGACAGCAGTGAAGCTACACAGCTTAGGCAGAGGGGCATGTCTGATCAGACCACACAGGAGCAAACGATAAGAGAAGGTGAGAGAGTGGAACACATCCTGGCCCACCAAGCCCCGGGAACAATATTCCTGCTCAGAGCACCCAATGCACAGAGAGGACCATAAGGCCAGCCCTACCACGAGACATGACATCCCTCACTGACCCACAGTACTTCAAGGGGCATCAATGGAGGCACAGTGCGGGAACTGTGCCCAAACTGACGCCATCATACGGGGTGAAACGCTAAGGGTGTGCAACAGAGCAAGGGGAACAAAGCAATGAAGTCCCCAAGGAATATAAAAAATAGACTTTGGAGCCAGGGCGGGGCACCCCATCAGAGTCGACCAGAAAACCCTCCTAAAGGTCAACAAACAGACCTTGAACTATTTATAGGTTTTTCTTTTTTGTGTCTTGGATTTGCTTTTTTTTGCTGTCTTGTTTTTGTGCTTTTTATTGTCTCTACATGTCTGTCTAGATAAGCTAGGCGGGATAAACAATCTAGAGGAGAAAATAACAGGGCCAATGGTTCTGGGGGGCACGGGAGAGAGGGAGGTGGGGGAAAGAAAGGGGCAGCCTACAAACCCAGGGACAAGGGAATAACAGATGATGTAAAATCAATGGCAAGG